TGTATGGGTAAGCTGTTCTCTAGCATTTTACTTGAACGTCTGTTATACTTCAAAAAGCTCTACTGTCCTGATCCAAAAGAACAGCTCGGTTTCTCGAAGGGTGCTCAAACTAATGATCACGTTTTCACCCTTAAGACAGTCATTGATAAATACACTAAAGTTAAAAAAGCTCGTCTCTATGCATGCTTTGTTGATCTAAGAAAGGCCTTTGACACTGTATGTAGGGACCTTCTTCTGCACAAAATAACATGCCTTGGAATTACCGGTAACTTCTTTAACTGCTTAAGTGATATGTACAAAAACTCAATTGCTCATATAAAAATCTCCAAACTCTTGTCCCCTAAAATTGATATTGGCAAAGGAACGGAGCAAGGACACCCCCTATCACCAGACCTTTTTAAAATCTATATTAATAACTTGTCATCTCTTCTGAAATCTGTTGGTGATTATCCAGTTCTTGCTGACGTTCTAATATCACATCTGCTCTGGGCTGACGATCTTGTCCTTCTTGCTCTAAGTCCCAAGGCCTTGCAAGTCAATATCAACATTCTATCTGACTTCTGTAACTCCATGGGCCTTGAAGTAAATATAAAGAAAACTAAGATTGTCATATTCAGCCCTCCCAAAAAGAAGCAGTCCCATGAAACATTTACATTGGGAGGTCAGCCCATCCAGCACACCGAAAAGTACTGCTATCTTGGCATAATATTCCACAGAAATGGATCCTTTACGGCAGCAAATACTGAGCTGAGGGCCAAAGCTCTCCGTGCTCTATATGGCCTTAAAGGCAATATAGTTAAAGATGCCCTCTCTCACCGTGCCCTTAATATTCTATTTGATTCCTTAATCAAACCAATCCTGCTTTATGGCTGTCAAGTCTTATGCCCCCACTCTAAAACAATGAGATACCTTTCAAAAATAGATGACAAAGCCAGCCCCCAGCATACCCTGAAGTACATTGCACAGGACCACTATGAGAAATTCCACCTAAAATTTATCAAGTGGTCTTTGTCCGTCCATTCAAAAGCATCAAATATAGGTTGCTGGGGCGAAAGTGGGCGCCACCCCCTATTCTTTGAAGCCTGCAAACTTGCAATAGATTACTATAGTCGCCTTGAAAGCACCGAAAATGAACTACTTTGTGCTGCATTTCACGAGCAGATCATGCTGGGCCTTCCTTGGTATACCAACATCTCAAAGCTTCTCACCAAATACAACTTCCCCCACTCATCTTCATCAAAATCTAAGCTCTCCACCCAAATCAGTCATAATATGAGGGAAGAATTCGTGAATACCTGGAAATCTGCCAAGGCCTCCTCACCAAAACTAGAATTCTATAACTTAATTAAACATGATTTTGAACCAGAGGCATACCTACGAATAATCAAAGTACCTGATTTTCGAAAAAGCTTGACAAGGTTTCGTATCAGCTGCCACAACCTCTACGTTGAAAGGGGCAGATACGAAACCCCTCTTGTACCAAGAGAAGAACGTTGGTGCACTTACTGCTTTTTCAGTAAAGGGCTCAAACCTATCGAGGACGAAAGCCATGTATTAATTGACTGTTTGCTTTACTCCTCAGTTAGGGAAAAATTCAACTTTTATCCCCAAAACATCACTGACCTAGCCGGTCTGCTCTCCAACAAAAATCTAGATCCTACCAAATTTACTGCCACAGCAAGAGCAATCCATTCAATTCTCTCTGTGAACGAACAATATACAGCCTATTATAAGAGCCCAGATTTCCACTCAAATACTGGCAAGTGCATAATGCTCTAGGAACTCAAAATAAACTCATGAACCATACAAATTTGATTTACTTAAAGAAAATAGCATTATATTATAACATTTCTATTTTATCCCTACACATTTGTAAATGATTAGAAGTGTGTAACTTAAATTATTTCAGAATTATAACTATTGTGAACTCAATAAAATAATTATCACTTTTGTATCCTTGTATCCTTGTATCCTTGTATCCTTGTATAACTAGTGCAAACTTTAGACCATATATCTTAGGGGACTTGGAGTAGCAAGAGAGTGACCAGAAAGTATATGTATACTTTTACCAAAAATACGTCGAAATGAATCCAGGGTGATACATGATCTGAGAGTGCAGACCATAAAGTTTACGCACCCACCCTTGCCTCCTGAATTCTTGGTTGGAAAGACAATTATGCAAAATTGGTCGTTTATACTCCAAGTCCCTTTGTTAATAGAAGTAGTATTATTTATGTCTGGAGTTAGCTTCATTCAATAATAACAATATCAATATAATCAATATTAATATCAATATCAGACTAAACTATCAAATAAATAAATTATCAAATATCAATTATTAATTCACTCTGATTAAAAAGTTATAAATTAGGATATCTAATATTTAAGAATTACAACTACAAGTTGTTAAAAACGCCCAAAATAGATCTGAGATATTTCCAGTCTGTAGTACAATAATGATAGCAATAGTTTAAATTATGTTATGTGCCGCTGCAATTAGATTAAATTACTGTAACTTAAAATTGTTTGGAGTCCAAGTCTCTTTTAAGTCAGCAGCTTGTGATTGTATTAATAGTGCAAGAATGCTAGTTTGTGCGGCGCGTCGAAGCGGCGAAGTCCCTCAAGAGCTTTACTAGCACCCGATTTACCACTTTTGGAGCACAAACTCAAACCTAATAATAATACCGGCCGAGCGCGCGGGCACAAATTAATATGTTATTACTACAATTGGGTGGATTGATTCTCAGAATATTATCAGCACGCAGCACTAATAATATAAAGTTGATTATCGAATTTTAGATGGGCCGTTGATTTGTAGCGCGATCATGCACTACTGGGCCATAATTTTGACGGATGTTACGTTGCTCTAACCAGAGCCCTCTCGCTTGCAGTAGCGCGCGTCACGCACGCGCAGTACGCGCGTCACGCAGTATATACGCGCATCACGCAGTACGCGCGTCACGCAGTACGCGTAGACACATGGCTATGTGAAGATGTTACGCTGTACGCGTCTAAATTTCTTCGAAGTGCGAAGTAGCGCCCTCCGCCGCTCTTTCTTTTCGAAATGCTGGCCCGATGGCAAGTGCTACGAAGTAGCGCGCGCCGGGCCAAACTATCACACATCAACTCAGATTTAAATTGAGAGTTGAGAAGTTTTTGATACATGTTTCGTATTCTGTATTCGGTTCTAATGACTTAATATAGTCGTTTAGATAATAAAAATATTACAAAGATACCAAGTAAACTCACAAATATTGCAACTTGGTTAAAAACAATGCATTTAACTGTTTTGGTGGCGCGCGCGCGCGCGCCATCTCAGTCAATTACTCCCATATTTGGTCAAACAGGATAATAGGGACGCAGAATATGAGTCCCTCTAAAAAGTCCGATTTCCTTCATGGTGCATGGTATGCCCCTTAACTTTTTCCACTTTCGGCGGCGTGCGCTTCGCGCGCGAAAAGTAGCATGCAACGTATGTCAAAGGAGTTTTGATCGACCAACTTGTGTTTCATGAGGTTTTCTGATAACCGATTTTACGTTTTCTGGTCCAGAAAATACTCCGTCAAATGTTTTTTTTCTATTCAGGCTTGTTGTCAATAAATTTGGTTTGTTTTGTAAAAGCAGAGTTCAGGATGGTCATCAACTTGATTTCCAACCAGATAAGAAGCGTGTTACTAATAGATTCATCATGAGCAGACATCCACAGTCCACACATGGTCAGGCCGATTACATAGCAGAGAAGTTAGAATTAACAGCAAATTAATTGGCCCCAAGGGTCAAACTCCTCTCCAAGTCCAAGCTTGAAACTTCCCTATAAAAATCAATATGTGATGATCTCAGGAGCAGCAAACAGAAAAAACCGAAATCCTCTAGTGGTGAATCTGGAATCAAAGGGTAATCTCTGCTTCTGAACCCTCGCCTAAGGAGACTCCCCCTCTCCAAAATTTAATCAAAGAAGACACTCCCTCGCAGATACACCACTTCCATTACAACACAACAATAATGATCCAAGCTTGAAAGTGAATCCAATCGAGTCTAATGAAGATCGAATAAATTTTTCTGAAAGGTCAGCTTCACCCTCAGACCCTGAAACTGGCGATTTTGACACGATTCAATTTTAGAGCTACAGATCATTCCTGATACTAATAAGTTCACTTCCTGACAGGCCAAAGAGAGAAAGAGAGAGGTCAAAGAGTTATTATCTGCCTCCTGATCGTGGGTTTGTTACAGTCAACTATTGCTTTTCGCCAGATAGACTCAATTCTGTTTGGATCGAACTCTAAAAAGATAATATAAAATCAACAAGTAATTGGTAACGTAATAGTGAATACTAATAGTAATAGTAATACTTTTATAGTTTCAAAGAGAATTTATGGAGTTAGGGGTCGTTCACACTTCACATAATACGTAATCAGCCGAGGGGGAGGGGGGGTTCCAAATGATTACGCTAGTGTAATTTTGACACAATGAATATGTTTAAAAATGATTGCGGAGGGGAGAGGGGGTTAAGAATTGGCCAAAAAGTGATTACGTAATATGTGAACGGCCCCTTAGTGTTATGGTTTCAATTGCTACACGTTGTATACCTCTCGTGCACGCGAAGCGTGCACGCCGGCCGGCCGCGCGCGATCAAAAGGGGTTGCAGCGTGTGTCAAGGTTTCAAAGAGAAACAAGACATTAGCGTTTTGGGGTTATTATTCTCTAATGGAAAAGTATTCCAAGTGGTATGTGAACGGCCCCTTAGTGTTATGGCTTCAAAGAGAAACAAGACATTAGCGTTTTGGGGTTATTATTCTCTATAATGGAAAAGTATTCCAAGTGATTTGTATTCATATTATATTTTTATTCATAATATTTGTATACCGCTTAGTCTTAAAATATTCTGATGGCTCAAAGCAATTAAAGTACATATTATTTTGAAAATTCTCGGAAAATACTTAATTTTCGTTATTATCCTCGCTCTAGTAATTTAAGTTTATATTACAAAGAAAACTATTATGTATATTAGTTCTGAAGGTTATTATACCAAGCCATAAAAACAACGTTGAAGTTGTTAAATTTATAACAACCCTGTGGACTAACCACATTATCAAAACCGCAAAATTAAAGTAGCTTTACAAATAAAATTAATAATAAACAACTGTTTAAAAATACCCTGATATAGTCTGATTATGATCGGTCAAATATAAAACAGTTTAACACTTTTACAAACATATCAGTTAGAAAATTTCTAACATAGACTAAAAGTGTTATTTTAAGGCAAAATAGTATTGGAAGAATTCAATAACACCCTATAGGATAGTTAGGCAATAATAATTTAATTAGGTAATTTGACGAAAGTTAATTGAGGTTACATAACCTAGCTGAAACAGCTGAAACCGTAGATATACGGAACAATATCATATCTGAATGATATTAATAAAAAGTTTACATTTTTACTGGACGGTGACTATTGACTATAGCAGTGCAGCTGGATTTAAAAACTTAGTAAAATTTATTAACTCACAGCTAGACTTACAATAAAAACCTATAGCTAAATGTTCATTGTTCTGACAACTCAATTCTTAGACATAAATATTGATTTACCCCACATTTTTAATATCATGTAACCAGACGGAATATATCGCACAATCAGCGAATGCAGATATATTTTACTTAAGATGATGGAACCAGGAACAACTGTCTTTTTCACAGAGGTCAATCTTCTTAGGAAGGAACGGAAGATATGATGAAGAGGAGTGGAAAGGGTGGCAGTGCATTCTTTGGAAGGATGTTAAAGTTGGCAGCGCTCATAACCTGAGGAAAATAAAGTTTAACAGGTTTTTTGTTCTAAAACTACAGAACTAATCTAGACTTTTCAGACAGAAAATTATTATTTTTCCACGATGTAAAGTTTTCACCAGAAAGGCTAAAAATGAAATTGAAAAGGATTTAACTTATAACATTCATTGATTGCATTTAATTGATTAATGATGATGATGACATTGATTACAGTTTAAATAATTAGAAAGATGATTATGTAGAATTAGTTTTTCTGTGCGGTTGTATCAAGTATAATCCGCTAAAATTGAAACTCACCTTTTGTTTAATGAGGAAGTGAAGTTAGCTCTAACACAAAAAGAAGTTCTTGACTCACAAACACTTGATGCCCATATAAGGGATATAAACACCGCTTTCTTCTCTGAAACAGTAAGGGTATAATATATTATACGGGTAAATTATCGACCATCTCCTATTACAAACACCTTAGGCTTTATCAAACATTAATTTAAAAGTGCAACATGGTAGTGGTGCTCGTATTGGAACAACAACAGTAACCTTGGTAACCATGGTTACCTATATAGAGATCTTATGGTATACTAATGGCACGTGATGCCCATACAAGGGATATATTGAATCCTGACTACCAAATTGATTTTTCACTGAATATAATATCATTGATAGCAATACGTAGATGTAATTCAACATAACCATAATTTCAACCTGCAGTATCAGTGAAGGAGTACAGGAGATAATGTGGGTGTGACTTGGAAGATAAGTGTCCTTATATGGGCATCACGTGTCTTTCAGTCGCCTTTCAGTCACATTACTATCTCCTGAGATGTAATTGAATAGAATTATATACATAATTAAGCTATATTTATGCAATAGGAAATGTCTTTATAATCATGGTAATAATAGAAATCTTTATGAAAGACATGTTTCCAATTTACAAGGGATAACAAAACGTTTCTAGATAACTTGTACTGGAAACTTATTTTAAAATTATTTAAAACAGTTCATATATACGTGATCCACCCACTTTAATCTCAATTTACCAAATTAGTGCAGGTGTCTCAACAGGATCAATTAAACGTGAGTGTCTAGGGTTACCATAGCGACCAACTAAACCACAAGTAAACTGCTCCTGATCACTGCTTTTCACTGATCCTCGACTAGTGAGAAACAAATTAGATAAAACAAGGGTATTACCTGACTTTCTACGGGCTTGTCCCTTTTACTATTTAGTAAATACCGGAATTATAGAATACTTAAAAAACCTACATCAACATGAACTCGTATCATTTTGATGAACGACACAAAGTAAGTACCTTACGAGACATATTTATATGGTACGAAATTTGGGGATTTTTGGAAAAAATCCCCATATTTTCGTACTACCAAAATTGTGGCCGCCATTTCAAAATCCCACACATTAATTTTTATGTAATTGGCTTAAATAGGGCTAATTTGAGGTGAATTTGTCAAATAAGTTGTTTTACGTGTTTTGTAAGACAAGGATACGCATTTCTCAGGTAAATAGAAAGTTACTTAGTATAATAATTGAATAGAAAATATCTGAAAACTGAACAGAAAACTGAACAGAAAACTGAATAGAAAATACTGAGTGACGACTTGGCCGGACATCTATAACGGTGAGATGGTAACTGTAGTCCGTGAAACAGACCCAGATTCTCTCCAGCATGATAGGTATGCTTGCTTTGTAAAAAGGATAAAGGAAGGGCGTGGAGTGCTATTGGCAAGACTGATAACTGTTGGACACGTGCCATTGGAAATCAGCAAGATATGTCACTATTTTATCAACCATGGTGGTGAGATATCTGGAACTGTCGAGGATTCAAAACCACGCCGATCGCTGATACCCTCTGGAGGGTTAGAAGTCAAACTTAGTCTCACATTCAAGATTAGGGAGACTTAATTGACAAGCTCAAACTCCTGTTGAGGGAGGCATACACCTGGGACTACACCGGTGAGCAGACTCAAGGTGAAAGAGACGACGATGAAGACGATTTAAACGAAGAGAATGATTTTTAATTAATTTAGTTTTTCACGATTTTTAAAAATTGATTTCTCTGAAATAATTTAGCGTGAAAATGCGACAATTTAATTTGGGGTACGAAATTTGGGGATTTCTGAAAAAAATCCCCATATTTTCGTTCCCCCATAATTCCGATCCCCAGAATTATGATCCACATAAATATGTCTTGTAAGGTAACCTAAAGTGCAATTTGTAACAAATCTTAGGATCATTAAAAGCAAGTGGTAATGAACGAAAATTAAAATTACCTGTTATTTGAGAACTCAAATGTAGCGATTCTTGAGTTGCTTGCGGAGGTTTTTGTCTTTAAAGAGTCGGGTTGGATAGTGTTAAGTTGAGAAGGATAAAGAAAGTAAAAGAGAATTAATGATAATAAGATTAAGGTTAAAGGATAAAAATATCATCATTGTATCCGTGAAAAGTATGAAATTGTTTCCTTTATAGAGAAAGCACTTCTGATTAAAGTTGTGAACACCGGTTTTCATCCTTAGATTAGATCTGTTGTGTCTTCTTCAAGGTGGGTTCTTGAAACTTTTGAATGATACGATAGGCATCATTTAATACTTACAAATAATAAATAAAACATAATAATAAAATACACAATAAAGCTTTTAAACTATACATGCGAGTCTTGGAATACCCCGTGTTCGTCTTCTGCTGGTGTAATGTCAGCTTCTACATTCTGAGCTTCAATATCACTGATTTCCTCTTCCTGTATGTTTGCTAGAAGTGTGCTACGTTCCGTTTCAGTTTCATAACGATGAGTCTGAGTTGATAGTGGCAGGGTTGACAAAGAAAGTTCATCTGAAGTAGTCTTACATCTGCAACAGATAGATTTAGAGCAAGACTTTTTGAAATAAGAGATTGGACAGCAGGCGGAAGCTTGTTCTTCATACTGCCCATTTTTCGGAAGCTTTGCTTCGCTAAACTGTCTTAACAATATAGCTGCTGCAAGAAAGATAATCATCAGGATCACTAATACGATGATCACCCATTTCGGCTCCATCAGGCTAAATCTTGTCCTGGAGATTAAAGAACCTGCCATGTACCACATTATTAACCCATATCCACAGATAAAGGCTGACTTCATTCGGAAGTTTTTAAAGTTCGTTTTATTGACCTGGAAAATATAAGAAAGCAAAGTTATGAGGGTAGTTGAAATGATAAGTAGTGTTAGGTAGAGCCATCCCTGGTATTTGAAGATATCAGTATTCCTACCGCAGGGGTAGTTATTCTCAACATAAACCGCGCCTATAACTCCCTCGACAAACATGTAGGTTGTTATGACCATCATCTCTTTCCAGGTCCTTAAAGTTGTGTAGCCTACTTCTGAGGGGGAAATAAGATATGCATTCGGTCGACGTAGCGAAATGACAATAACATCTCTAAAACTGAATAGCAGGAGAGACCACATATCACCAATACGTCGTAGTATCGTAAGTTCTTCTTCTTTATCCTTTGAAGTTGGTATTTTCTTGCTGGCTATACTTATCGTGATCTTATTAACAACAAACCAAACTAAAGTTGATAATCCAAGATATCCAGCAACATAGAAGTGATTGGGGACTGAGTGCATAACTGCTGCAATTAGGAAGAGTCTAGAAGGAATCATCAGAACATAAGCTATATACAATAGCACGAGAGCAACAGTAGACATCTTTGGTGTTGCTGGATGGAGCTTCCGAAGTATCACTTCCAAACCGATCACGCTGTTGGGAATCTTCACAAACGGCACTATCATTGAATATACTTCCACCCATGACGCGCATATCTTTAATCTCAGTAGGTTTTCGACACACTCAAAATCCCCAGAATCGTAATCGAAACTATGATAGTCCGTACATCCAGAACTTCTAAAATCCCCATCTTCCCTCAAAATGTTGAAGTAGATTTGAAAAATGTAAAACTGGATAAGGAGCTCAGGAATCTGTTCCATCATCATATAGTATTGGGCAAGAGATTTGTCTTTGGCCTGCTGTCTATAGATGACTCGTAATTTAGAAGGTGAGTGCGTGAGAAATTGCAGACGATCAACAACTGGACGGAGCCAAAATATCGAGAGTACGTTGAAAAATACGGCTCTAACAGATGTTGATATTGATGAATGTCCTTTTACTTTGAACGGCCAAAAGAATCGTCCTAGATATTTAAATGGCACCCACAATTCATGCCCATAGTTTAGTTCAGAACCTTTCCAATCTTCTGGTGTAAATGTGACTTTTCCAAGATTTGTCCGGAGTTGCTCTATTCCAGTAGCAAATGTTGAAATTGAAGAGCGGATATTCTCGTGGAACAAAGTCACAAAAACAATGACTAGCATTAGTATCCCTAATCTTGAAGAAAAACCTTTTAGCGTTTTGAAGCCTACATAAGCATCAGAAGCAATGTCGGAAATATGAATTAATATTGCAAATAAGCAAGTAAAATAGTCAAAGCTTCCCCGAACACTACACTTGTGCGAAAACCTCCTAATGCATGCAGAAAAAAGACACTTTTCAATGTCCTCTTTAACATTTTCTATGGGAGCGCAGCATCCTTGATCCTCTTTAACATTGATCGATTCTTGTTCGTTCTCCGTCAAATAGGTTTTAGCGATACTTTTTGCTACAAGTTTTGCGTCAATGTCTCCTTCATATCCTTCATCTGAAATTCTATTTATTTGGGCGGAAAATCTTTCGAAAACAGCCTCTCCCAATGTTTCTCGAAGAAACTTTTTAAAAGCGTCTTTTTCGATCGCTTCTTTAGACTTCTTTGCTTCTTTGGATTTCTTTGGACTGTCTGGAGACTTGACCTCACCACAGTCACATTTGATGTTAGCCTGCAAACTTACGTACAATACATTCAATAAACTTGATAACTGGGTGTCATGAACGTCTGGATCTACGAAGATGTCAACAAGTGTTTTGAAGACGGAACTTTTACAGAACACATATATTGCCTGGTTGTTATCCACTTGCTCCATATTGACACAGCCTAATTGGTGAAGGTATTTAACTATATAAGCATGACCTTGCTCAGCAGCAGCAAGAAAGGGGGTATAACCTAAATTATTAACGTGGTTCTTATCCACGCCATTAACTTGGCACATTTGTTCCACAATGTCCAAATAACCCATCCTAGCAGCTATCAGGAGGGGAGTGTTACCCTCCTTACCCTCCTTCTTAACATCGATATTAATGTGTGCTAGTAGCTCTTTTACAACATCTATGTTACCCTCTCTAGCTAGTGCTGCACACAGTGGTGTATCAACCTTACTCCCCTTGTTCACATCAATATCACTTTGTTTTAACAGCTCTTTTACAACGTCTGTGTGACCCTTCTCAGCTGCTACGTACAGTGGTGTACCTAACTCAACCCCCTTATTAACATCAATATCACGGTGTGTTAACAGCTCTTTTACAACCTCTATGTTACCCTGCTTAGCTGCTACGTACAGTGGTGTACTTGACTCATCCCCCTTATTAACATCAATATCAGGGTGTGTTAACAGCTCTTTTACAACCTCTGTGCGACCCTTCTCAGCTGCTCTGTACAGTGGTGTGCCTAACATACCCACCTTGTTAACAGCAATATCACGGTGTGTTAACAGCTGTTTTACAACATCTGTGTGACCCTGATAAGCTGCTACGTACAGTGGTGTACTTGACTTATCCCCCTTATTAACAGTAATATCACGGTGTGTTAACAGCTCTTTTACAACCTCTGTTTTACCATAATAAGCTGCTATGTACAGTGGTGTACCCCACTTACTCCCCTTATTAACATCAATATCACGGTGTGTTAACAGCTCTTTTACAACCTCTGTTTTACCATAATCAGCTGCTCTGTACAGTGGTGTACCTGACACACCCTCCCAGTTAACATTAATATTAATGTGTGTTAACAGCTCTTTTACAACGTCTGTGTGACCCTTTAAGGCTGCTATGTACAGTGGTGTACCTGACTCACCCTCCCTGTTAACATTAATATCACGGTGTGTTAACAGCTCTTTTACAACCTCTATGTTACCCTCCTTAGCTGCTATGTACAGTGGTGTACCTAACTCACCCTCCCTGTTAACATTAATATCACGGTGTGTTAACAGCTCTTTTACAACCTCTTTGTTACCCTGCCAAGCTGCTATGTACAGTTCAGTGCTCTGGTCAGACATCTTTACTGGTAGTTACCTAGAGAAATGTTAGTAGTCAGTAACTGTGTTGTACAGTTCAGTGTTGTGTTTTACAGTTCAGTGTTGTGATTTACAGTTCAGTGTTGTGTTTTACAGTTCAGTGTTGTGTTATACAGTTCAGTGTTGTGTTTTACAGTTCTGTGTTGTGTTTTACAGTTCAGTGTTGTGTTATACAGTTCAGTGTTGTGTTTTACAGTTCAGTGTTGTGTTTCACAGTTCAGTGTTGTGTTTTACAGTTCAGTGTTGTGTTTTACAGTTCAGTGTTGTGTTTTACAGTTCAGTGTTGTGTTTCACAGTTCAGTGTTGTGATTTACAGTTCAGTGTTGTGTTTTACAGTTCAGTGCTGTGTTTTACAGTTCAGTGTTGTGTTTTACAGTTCAGTGTTGTGTTTTACAGTTCAGTGTTGTGTTTCACAGTTCAGTGTTGTGTTATACAGTTCAGTGTTGTGTTTTACAGTTCAGTGTTGTGTTTTACAGTTCAGTGTTGTGTTTCACAGTTCAGTGTTGTGTTATACAGTTCAGTGTTGTGTTTTACAGTTCCGTGTTGTGTTTTACAGTTCAGTGTTGTGTTTTACAGTTCAGTGTTGTGTTTTACAGTTCAGTGTTGTGTTATACAGTTCAGTGTTGTGTTTTACAGTTCAGTGTTGTGTTTCACAGTTCAGTGTTGTGTTTTACAGTTCAGTGTTGTCTTTTACAGTTCAGTGTTGTGATTTACAGTTCAGTGTTGTGTTTTACAGTTCAGTGTTGTGTTTTACAGTTCAGTGTTGTGTTTTACAGTTCAGTGTTGTGTTTTACAGTTCAGTGTTGTGTTTACAGTGCAGTGTTGTCTTTTACAGTTCAGTGTTGTGATTTACAGTTCAGTGTTGTGTTTTACAGTTCAGTGTTGTGTTTTACAGTTCAGTGTTGTGTTTTACAGTTCAGTGTTGTGTTTTACAGTTCAGTGTTGTGTTTAAAGTGCAGTGTTGTGTTTTACAGTTCAGTGTTGTGTTTACAGTGCAGTGTTGTGTTTTACAGTTCAGTGTTGTGTTTTACAGTTCAGTGTTGTGATTTACAGTTAAGTGTTATGATTTACAGTTCAGTGTTATGTTTTACAGTTCAGTGTTGTGTTTTACAGTTCAGTGTTGTGTTTTACAGTTCAGTGCTGTGTTTTACTGTTCAGTGTTGTGTTTTACAGTTCAGTGCTGTGTTATACAGTTCAGTGTTGTGTTTTACAGTTCAGTGTTGTGTTTTACAGTTCAGTGCTGTGTTTTACAGTTCAGTGTTGTGTTTTACAGTTCAGTGTTGTGTTTTACAGTTCAGTGCTGTGTTTTACAGTTCAGTGTTGTGTTTTACAGTTCAGTGCTGTGTTTTACAGTTCAGTGTTATGATTTACAGTTCAGTGCTATGATTTACAGTTCAGTGCTGTGTTTTACAGTTCAGTGTTGTGTTTTACAGTTCCGTGTTGTGTTTTACAGTTCAGTGTTGTGTTTTACAGTTCAGTGTTGTGTTTCACAGTCCAGTGTTGTGTTTCACAGTTCAGTGTTGTGTTTTACAGTTCAGTGTTGTGTTATACAGTTCGCTGTTGTGTTTACAGTGCAGTGTTGTGTTAAACAGTTCAGTGTTGTGTTATACAGTTCAGTGCTATGTTTTACAGTTCAGTGTTGTGATTTACAGTTCAGTGTTGTGTTTTACAGTTCAGTGCTGTGTTTTACAGTTCAGTGTTGTGTTTTACAGTTCAGTGTTGTGTTTTACAGTTCAGTGTTGTGTTTCACAGTTCAGTGTTGTGTTATACAGTTCAGTGTTGTGTTTTACAGTTCCGTGTTGTGTTTTACAGTTCAGTGTTGTGTTTTACAGTTCAGTGTTGTGTTTTACAGTTCAGTGTTGTGTTATACAGTTTAGTGTTGTGTTTTACAGTTCAGTGTTGTGTTTCACAGTTCAGTGTTGTGTTTTACAGTTCAGTGTTGTCTTTTACAGTTCAGTGTTGTGATTTACAGTTCAGTGTTGTGTTTTACAGTTCAGTGTTGTGTTTTACAGTTCAGTGTTGTGTTTTACAGTTCAGTGTTGTGTTTTACAGCTCAGTGTTGTGTTTACAGTGCAGTGTTGTCTTTTACAGTTCAGTGTTGTGATTTACAGTTCAGTGTTGTGTTTTACAGTTCAGTGTTGTGTTTTACAGTTCAGTGTTGTGTTTTACAGTTCAGTGTTGTGTTTTACAGTTCAGTGTTGTGTTTAAAGTGCAGTGTTGTGTTTTACAGTTCAGTGTTGTGTTTACAGTGCAGTGTTGTGTTTTACAGTTCAGTGTTGTGTTTTACAGTTCAGTGCTGTGTTTTACAGTTCAGTGTTATGATTTACAGTTCAGTGCTATGATTTACAGTTCAGTGCTGTGTTTTACAGTTCAGTGTTGTGTTTTACAGTTCCGTGTTGTGTTTTACAGTTCAGTGTTGTGTTTTACAGTTCAGTGCTGTGTTTTACAGTTCAGTGTTATGATTTACAGTTCAGTGCTAGTGATTTACAGTTCAGTGCTGTGTTTTACAGTTCAGTGTTGTGTTTTACAGTTCAGTGTTGTGTTTTACAGTTCAGTGTTGTGTTTTACAGTTCAGTGTTGTGTTTCACAGTCCAGTGTTGTGTTTCACAGTTCAGTGTTGTGTTTTACAGTTCAGTGTTGTGTTATACAGTTCGCTGTTGTGTTTACAGTGCAGTGTTGTGTTAAACAGTTCAGTGTTGTGTTTCACAGTCCAGTGTTGTGTTTCACAGTTCAGTGTTGTGTTTTACAGTTCAGTGTTGTGTTATACAGTTCGCTGTTGTGTTTACAGTGCAGTGTTGTGTTAAACAGTTCAGTGTTGTGTTAAACAGTTCAGTGTTGTGTTTACAGTGCAGTGTTGTGTTAAACAGTTCAGTGTTGTGTTATACAGTTCAGTGCTATGTTTTACAGTTCAGTGTTGTGATTTACAGTTCAGTGTTGTGTTTACAGTTCAGTGTTGTGTTTTACAGTTCAGTGTTGTGTTTTACAGTGTAGTGCTATGATTTACAGTTCAGTGCTGTGTTTTACAGTTCAGTGTTGTGTTTTACAGTTCAGTGTTGTGATTTACAGTTCAGTGTTGTGTTTACAGTTCAGTGTTGTGTTTTACAGTTCAGTGTTGTGTTTTACAGTTCAGTGTTGTGATTTACAGTTCAGTGCTGTGTTTTACAGTTCAGTGTTGTGATTTACAGTTCAGTGTTGTGTTATACAGTTCAGTGTTGTGTTTTACAGTTCAGTGTTGTGATTTACAGTTCAGTGTTGTGTTTTACAGTTCAGTGTTGTGATTTACAGTTCAGTGTTGTGTTTTACAGTTCAGTGTTGTGTTTTACAGTTCAGTGTTGTGTTTTACAGTTCAGTGTTGTGTTTCACAGTTCAGTGTTGTGTTATACAGTTCAGTGTTGTGTTTTACAGTTCAGTGTTGTGTTTTACAGTTCAGTGTTGTGTTTTACAGTTCAGTGTTGTGTTTTACAGTTCAGTGTTGTGTTATACAGTTCAGTGTTGTGTTTTACAGTTCAGTGTTGTGTTTCACAGTTCAGTGTTGTGTTTTACAGTTCAGTGTTGTCTTTTACAGTTCAGTGTTGTGATTTACAGTTCAGTGTTGTGTTTTACAGTTCAGTGTTGTGTTTTACAGTTCAGTGTTGTGTTTTACAGTTCAGTGTTGTGTTTTACAGTTCAGTGTTGTGTTTACAGTGCAGTGTTGTGTTTTACAGTTCAGTGTTGTGATTTACAGTTCAGTGTTGTGTTTTACAGTTCAGTGTTGTGTTTTACAGTTCAGTGTTGTGTTTTACAGTTCAGTGTTGTGTTTTACAGTTCAGTGTTGTGTTTAAAGTGCAGTGTTGTGTTTTACAGTTCAGTGTTGTGTTTACAGTGCAGTGTTGTGTTTTACAGTTCAGTGTTGTGTTTTACAGTTCAGTGTTGTGATTTATAGTTAAGTGCTATGATTTACAGTTCAGTGTTGTGTTTACAGTTCAGTGTTGTGTTTTACAGTTCAGTGTTGTGTTTTACAGTTCAGTGCTGTGTTTTACTGTTCAGTGTTGTGTTTTACAGTTCAGTGCTGTGTTTTACAGTTCAGTGTTGTGTTATACAGTTCAGTGTTGTGTTTTACAGTTCAGTGTTGTGTTTTACAGTTCAGTGCTGTGTTTTACAGTTCAGTGTTGTGTTTTACAGTTCAGTGTTGTGTTTTACAGTTCAGTGCTGTGTTTTACAGTTCAGTGTTGTGTTTTACAGTTCAGTGCTGTGTTTTACAGTTCAGTGTTATGATTTACAGTTCAGTGCTATGATTTACAGTTCAGTGCTGTGTTTTACAGTTCAGTGTTGTGTTTTACAGTTCCGTGTTGTGTTTTACAGTTCAGTGTTGTGTTTTACAGTTCAGTGTTGTGTTTCACAGTCCAATGTTGTGTTTCACAGTTCAGTGTTGTGTTTTACAGTTCAGTGTTGTGTTATACAGTTCGCTGTTGTGTTTACAGTGCAGTGTTGTGTTAAACAGTTCAGTGTTGTGTTATACAGTTCAGTGCTATGTTTTACAGTTCAGTGTTGTGATTTACAGTTCAGTGTTGTGTTTTACAGTTCAGTGCTGTGTTTTACAGTTCAGTGTTGTGTTTTACAGTTCAGTGTTGTGTTTTACAGTTCAGTGTTGTGTTTCACAGTTCAGTGTTTTGTTATACAGTTCAGTGTTGTGTTTTACAGTTCAGTGTTGTGTTTTACAGTTCAGTGTTGTGTTTTACAGTTCAGTGTTGTGTTTTACAGTTCAGTGTTGTGTTATACAGTTTAGTGTTGTGTTTTACAGTTCAGTGTTGTGTTTCACAGTTCAGTGTTGTGTTTTACAGTTCAGTGTTGTCTTTTACAGTTCCGTGTTGTGTTTTACAGTTCAGTGTTGTGTTTTACAGTTCAGTGTTGTGTTTTACAGTTCAGTGTTGTGTTATACAGTTTAGTGTTGTGTTATACAGTTCGCTGTTGTGTTTACAGTGCAGTGTTGTGTTAAACAGTTCAGTGCTGTGTTTTACA